TACGTAATTGTCTCGCCATCATTGAATGCAGTTGGAGCTCCGTTGGTCATTGGTTAAGTTAATTAAAACTCTAATGCCCGGTCGTCACGTGACATAGAAGTGAAGTTAGACATCTATGCCACGTGAGGGCTGGACGTGGAGTTAGACTTGCGGGGGCCAATAAATTTTTCAGTATTAATATACTAACTGGTTGTAATTATTTTAATATGCGATTGAGTAGACATGGTAAAAACGTATATCCTAAGATTGGATTATTGGATCTAAGTCAGCGAAACATTTCATAAGGAATATACGGATCGCCGTTTCAATTTTCAACATGCCATTTCATTACTCTTACGCAACTCTGTTCTCTCATCGCGTCACGATGTGCAGTCGGCTCAAATCGAATCAATCAGCTCACTCGGGTATTCATGTTAATTTCATTCGATGCATTAAACTCAATGGCGATTCAGTTGCGTATAGATTATTATATTTGCATTGCGATCCAGTTCCAAAAGCTACTTTTTGATGACATTAGTGATCTGAATCATTTACGTTTGAAGAAGATACTACTCTTCGTGTCATTACAGTAAAAGTAACACGCAACTAATCATAATTTTCGAAATTAAAATTTGTTTTGTCCAGTGCCCACGGTATGTCAATAAAATTTTGTAACTATATACCGGATTACATAAAAATCTTAGAAAATCCTGCGTAATTTAATAACCAATTATTTGTAATAACATTTGATTTCTTATTAAATGTTATTATACTTGGGTGGATCGCTAGTAAATATAGATAGTTAGTTAGTTAATGATATGATATTTTATAATTTATGTTTAAAATCTAGATAATTCGAAAATAATTAACCCTCTAGTATTGATATGCTCGTGAAAGGCGTCACATGTATACGTGGCAATAATGTATCATACATACAGAAACAGAAACAGAAACTTTTTTATTCAATATAGATTATAAATAATACTTATTGAAAGTCACTCTTTTGTTTGATTACCACTGGTTCGGAAAAAACCTCTGTCCTGGGAAGAACCACCAAGAAACCCAGCGGGACTTTTTTTTAAATAACAGCTTACAATCATGATGTTACACAAATTAACAACACAACAAATTAGAAATAGCTTGGTAGCGATCACCTCATTTCCAGGGGTTATTATTATCCATAAATTCCTTAATATTATAATAACCCTTTTTATACAAACTTAGTTTAATAAAGTTTTTGAACAGGTCAAACTTTGTATATTTTCTGGAATTTTGTTTTAAAAGCGTATACATCGCCCCAAGAATGAATTACTGACTCGATGGAGTCGAGTAACTGGTACTACTAGCTTGTGTCTGTTCCTAGTATTTACAGAATGAATATCACTGATTTTTGTAAAACAACTTTTATTTTTGTGTACGTACATTACATTTTCATAAATGTATTGAGAGGCCAAAGTTAATATATTAATTTCCTTAAATTTTTGTCAGCTGCGTGTGCCCATAGCAAAATACCATACGACATTATGCTATGGAAGTAGCTGAAGTAAACTAGTCTAGCTGTTTCAACACTGGTTAGACTTCTAATCTTTTTTACAGCATATGCTGCAGAACTAAGTCTGCTTGCTAGTTTTGATATATGGGGGCTCCATTGAAGCTTCGCGTCTAGTGTGACTCCAAGAAAAATGGTGGTATCTACAAGACTCAGTTTCTCCCCATTTAAAATTACATTAGTATTTAATTGTTTGACATTTGGAGTCACGAATTTCATACGTTTTGTTTTAGTGCCATTTAAATGCAAATTATTAACATCGAACCAATTTACTAATTTAGATATAGCATTATTTACTTCGTCATATTTTAGTAACTGTCGACTTAATTTGAAAATTAAAGAAGTGTCATCTGCAAATAATACTATATCATGGTTATCCCCTACTATGTAAGGTAACTCATTAATGTATACAAGAAACAGAAAGGGGCCGAGAATTGAGCCTTGAGGCACGCCCATTTGTACCATCGATCCGGAAGAGCTCATATTGTTAATGACAACTTTTTGCGTTCTCTTACTTAAATATGAAATAATTAATTTAAGGGCATCACTTCTTACACCGTAGTGTTGAAGTTTCCTGATTAATGTTTCATGGTGAACACAATCGAAGGCCTTGGATAGGTCACAAAATATACCCAAAGCATCCTGTGAATTCTCCCATGCATTAAAGATATATTTAATCAGCTCAACACCGGCATCAGTTGTCGAGCGACCCCTTGTGAACATGTAATGTGACATACAATAAACAATTTGAATTTGAATATTACAGTTGTGTGATTTGTTCGTTGTTGTGCTTGGATCACGTCTACTTCTACATTAATAGTATGAGTTTTAAATCACGTTTTTACTTAAGTTCATTTGCATGTCAGAGAAGCTTCTAAATGCAAACGTTCTTGCATTTTTAAAGAAGCTATGTGATCGTAACTTTGTTCACGTAAACTTTACAAATGTTTGATTTCAAATCAAGTAATATAAATGTTTAGCGCTCAAAAACGAAACACTTGGAATCGGCTCGTTGTTTACATTCGTAAAATCAAGTTTTACTTTCATAAAAATAAAATTTTGTAAATTTGAAACTCTTTGGAGGACTACTTTAAAAATGCAATGTAGTAAGATGTTATTTCATTTTAAATTTGATTTAAAAAATTACCGAAAAATATTTAAATTTTTTTATCCCCCACCGAATCTAGGAGATAAACATCCCTGAGAAAAACAGTAACATGAACAATAAGGTTTTGATTTTGATTGTGGGAAAAAATGAGACTGCGTTGTTTTTCTACTGATTTCAAAAAGGAGACGGTACTAAATTCGACTGTATGTTTTTTTATGTGTGATATAAGTTATAACCTCATGACTTATTTCTGAGTGAACTGATTTCGATGATTATTTTATTATTTCAAAGCTGGTGCTTCTCATGCCAATGTGCAATCCCATATAAATTTGATCAAGGTCTGACCAATAGTTTTTGAGTTATTATTAATAATTTTTATTGAAGTATGTTGTACAAAACTTTTAATTTTAAATTACTATGCATCTTTTTAAACATTTTTCGTGGAACTGCTTTAAAATAGTCAATATCATCTACCGTTATCAGTATACTGAACCTCTCATATGCATATTATTATATCGTCTCGGTTATATATCTTCGCTTTTATTCTAGATTAATGAATATTCACAACGTTAATTAATGTTCTCATATATTCGTGTGTGACTTGTCCAATATCTATCGAACATCACATGTTAAGTTTGCTTGATTGTAATCTATACGTATATGAATAAATTGAAGTGTATGTCTGTGATATCGAAATAACTGCCTTTTATTGAGCTGACGGGATTATTTGCATGCCATCAAGTCATAAATAACCATTTTTGAAATTTTTGTCTGTCTGTGCTAATCTTCAGAATGTTTACACTGATTGTAATAAAAATTGACGAACTGATAGAGAGCAATGCCAAGCGTGATCTATTCTATATTTTATCCTAATAACTTCAAAATTGTTTTTGAGAAGTCGACAAATTAATAAAGTAAATAGTCTTAATTCCAATAAATGATTATATTAAATCTACATACCATTATAGCCTATTAAAGTTCTCTGCTGCACATAGGCCCATATTATTCCTGTACCAATTTCAATTTACTTTGTGTGCATATTAAACAATAATTGATTGGAAATCATATGGGATTTCCGGCCACCCACGACTCTGTTAACTTGCGTAAATTGATGATATCGTATGTTTTTTTTCTTTTATAGAATAAGAGTTATAAACGAGCACACAGTCCACCTGATGGTAAGTGGTTGCTGTGCCCAATAAAGAATCAAAATGCAGACGCGTCGTGACCTGTGAGGACTTAGTGGGAATGCCTCTTTTCCAGTAAAATGGGTCTCCGGTTCTCTACACTCACCATACGAAACACAGCAGTGCCAAGCTGCCATTTTACACTGGTATCCTGTGAGAGCGTGGTCCTTCCCCGGTCGAGCCGACCCATTCGTGCTACAACTATACTACTATTAGCTGCAGCATGGCTCTACCACGTATTATCTATGATTATGTTGTATAATTATGTTTACGAAGTCTGCCGTTTGTGAACACGTACAGGATCGCCCCCGTCACTACATTAATTTTTATACACCATAAATCCTCGTTTTAAGTACACCGATTCCTTCCAAAGATAATTTGCGAGGCTATTGAATCCAAAAAAATATCCTACTTTCGATAGAGAAGATGGCTGGGTGCTACCATCTGCTTAGGATCCTTTATTTAATAAAATTAAATCTCAGCTCAAGCTTATAACTGCAGGACTTCATGATACGATAAGTTCATAATGCGTAGATTGGACCAAATATTATCTAATAATTTTAATCTGAAGGTAGCCGTGGTTAACAAGACATTAGGACCATGGGTGCTGTAAAGTACTCGAAACGTCGGGAATATCCATGATCCTTTACAGCCTATAACAGTGCACCGCTGAAAATAAACCTCCCTCATAGATTGCTTCATAGGAGGGATTTATCTATAGTTGCCACGTTTGGCAAGCGGGTTGGCAACAGCAGTTTTTTATTACTTTTAGTTATTGTCAGGAAGATGCTGCTGCCCATCTCCTGTTTCAGTTTCCCTCTGTCGCCTCTTACGACACCCACGAGACAATATGAGGTAGTGGATATTCTTACACCGCCACAGCATCCATATACAATCAGATGGACTTTGAGCTAGTTTCTCACTTTTATTCGACAATAAAACTATTCCAGAGGTCCTCTGGAATTTCCGGTGTGCGTTTGTCACCCTTATTCCGATTTCCGGCAATCCTTACACAGGTAGGCGGATTGTCCGGCACTAAATGACACTTTGCTAACTTGCGACATTTCTTTTGCAGCATGAGGTCACGGCGGTGGTGTGGTGTCCGCATGGAAGCCCGGCGGACTGGTGAGCGAGCGCTGCAAACGCTGCACGCGCACTTTCGCCGCGCTCTGCCGGGATGGACCGCGCGCGCTTCTCGCCGTCGCCGGAGCACCCGCACCGTGGGCCGCTCCAAGGAGGACCCCGCGAAACCACAGAGGCCCCGCCAGCGGAGGCCTTAAACGAACCAGAGACTTCGCGGCCCGCGCCGCGCACTCTCGCCTCCATCCCGGAGAGCGAACCCTTGATCAACTGCGTCAGTGCTATCAGTGATGTGCGGAAGACCAACGGGCGCCCTCTACACGTACAATTCGACACGCAGTCGCCTCCTGCAAATGTGTCAGTGTCGGGTTCAAGTTCGAGCTCGAGCTCCGATGATGAAGAGTTGTCGATCACCGAAGCCCGACCACCCGATGGCGGGTGGGGCTGGGTCGTTGTTTTCGCCTCATTCATGGTCAATCTTATCGCTGACGGAATCACGTTCAGCTTTGGCGTCTTCTATCCGCACTTTTTGGAGTATTTCGGCGAGGGGAAAGGCAAGACCGCCTGGATTGCGGGAATCTTCATGGCGATGCCTCTCCTCTCCGGCCCGATCGCTAGTTTCTTGACAGACAGATATGGTTGTCGTCGTATGACCATTTTCGGAGCTATTTTAGCGTCCATTGGATTTGTGATTTCGGCGTTCGTCGATAATGTGGAAACGCTGTTCCTTACATTCGGCATCATGGCCGGGTTCGGATTAAGTTTGTGCTACGTGGCGGCCGTGGTTATCGTCGCCTACTATTTTGATACGAAACGCTCCTTGGCGACTGGAATATCCGTTTGCGGAAGTGGAATTGGAACGTTTATTTTCGCGCCATTGACATACGTGTTGCTTGACGAGTACGGGTGGCGCGGTACTACATTGATACTCGCAGGATTTTTCCTAAACATGGCAGTATGCGGCTTGTTGTTCAGAGATTTGCCTTGGACGACCACAATGAACGAAGAGAGAGCCAAGGAGAGGAAACGAAGGAGGGAGAAAAAACGGAACAAGCGTTTAGCAGCATCGGCTGATAGCATTTCAGATAGTAAAAGTAGCCCAGCAGGCTCAATGAAAGTAGCCGACTCAGGCGATATAGAAACAGTTTCGTCGCCGATCGTGCCGCAGTTTAGTTCTTTAGTGGACCTACCCACGTTCATGACTGGCGGTGAAGGTGTGTCACTCGAAGTGTTCGAGCTCATGTCTAACAAGGGTCGAGCGTACGCTATCATGGCGCAGAACTACCCGGGCGTGATGTTGCCTTCGAGAAGTTTTAGTGATAGTGGACGGTTGCACGAACAGTCTCCCCCCAGGGCGCTGATGTCTCCTGGGACGGCTTCGCCAAGTGCTCAGTCGCCCTCGTCGCCTCCACAAACAATTGACAACAGTAATTCAACAGCTCCCCTTAGTGACAAAACGTCCACATCGCTCTGGCTAAGACGCCATGCCAGCGGTTCTAAGAAACCTCCAGCGTTTTTGAAAGATTTGAGGATACATCGGCATTCCTTAACATATAGAGGCGCCATGTTGAATATAAACCGCTACAGACTACGTGCCTCTTCGTGTCCTAACATCTTCCGGAACTCGATGACTACCATTGCCAAAGAAAAGGTAAGAAAAGTTTCGATCTTTATTTACGATTTCAAAGTATTTTTTTACATTCTAATTTATAATATAAAGAAATATTTTTGTCTGTTCGTATTTTATGTGCAGCTATACCGTTCATCAGATTGCGCTAAAACTTTGTCAACATAAGCATGCACTTCCGCGAAGGTACAATTAACTTACAGTAAATGGCGCGCGTATTGCAGCAACAAATTATTTGAAAGTTATATTTCATTTAACTTCAATTATTATTCCTAATTAAACAATACAAATCTTTTAAATTTAAAACGATATTTATTGCTTTTGCGGCAGTAACACGCCGGGTACCAGCTATCATAAGAAAGTCGTTTAAATAGTTCTTAGCAGCCATTGTTAACGATGTACTTCAATGCAATTAATGTTCGTTTAACATCTGTTTTAAAGTTTCTTCTTTTTTTAATATATTTAAGCGTTTTTGACGATAATACCCTATTATTCAGCCAGTGTTTTTTATAGGGAATGAATTATGTCTTTATTTTTTTATTTTTAATAAAAGCCCCGTTTGCGCCTATTATTACGAAGGAGTTGGAATTTAAATAAATTTTGAACATTCTGAGATATTGCGAGTTATAAAGTAAAACCAGTCAAGACTAAAAACTAAGTAACTTGTAATATTTAGTCTGTAAATTTGCCATGTGATGCTGTGATGGCTGCGTAAGAAAATTCATCACCCTTTTTCGACCCGTGGGGTTCACTCACCGAAATACCTACTGGTCTTTGTTAAAATACCCAAACCGGTGACAGCGGCGTATTGGTGGTAAGCATGGTGACTGAGCCAAATCCTCCATATTGTAGGACCAAGCCCAGCAGTGGACTAGACAGATAAATTGCTTATGACGAACAAAAAGAAACTTTTAACCGCAATTTAAAAGTAATTCTTAAAAAACTGCGGTCGCCAACCCGCCCAATAAACGTGGCAACTATGGCAGCAGTTAGCTTTTGATAGGCTGTAATGGTAACGATAACTTAGATCGTGAGCTGCCACGGCTTTAGTAATCTATTTTTATCAGTCACATTTATTTAATGACTTCCTATATTTGTATTTAGACCACAAACCTCGCAAAAGAACACCGATTCGTACCAAGGATGATTCGCGAGGTTATGGAAATTAAAAAAATTCCTAATTTCAATAGAGAAGATGACTGGGTGCTACTATCTTGCATTGGATCCAATAATTAATAAAATTAAATCCAAACCTATAAGCATACCAAGTCACCTCTGCCCTCCCGTGACCATATTATGTGCTGTAAAGTACCCGAAACGTCGGGAAATAAAAATAAGTTAAAACGCGATAAAATCCGTAAAATTAGTTTTACTCAAAGTTACATTTATTTTTTGTAATTCCAGGTGCAGTGGTATGCGGGTCTGTGGGATTTCTGGGACTTAGTGGTGGACGTGCTCGACTTCTCCCACTTCAAGAATCCCGCGTTCCTCGTGTTCGCCGTGTCCAACTTCCTGCTGTACATGTGGTACGACGTACCGTACGTGTACATCGCTGATAACGGCATGACCATGGGCTTCAACGAGTCGCAGGCGTCCATGCTCATCTCCATCATCGGTATTCTGAATATGTTTGGCGAGGTCAGTACTTTGATGGTGTTTTTTTATTGGTAAATAAATAAAAAAACATGAATGCCTTTCGTATTCACTAATTGGAGGACTCCAAAATAGCAATAAAATGTTAACTTTTAACATACATTACATGATGTCAGCATATAAAAAATATGGTATGTTACTAAAATATCTTAAGACCGACTCTAAGAAATGACTCTTTTAAGTTATTTTTTCGATAACGAAAACTTCTGTATCTATTTTTTTTTTTTCGTTATTAAATATTTTAATAAAATTTCATACTGCTAAAACCGGCAGTTTTAGTGTTCAGTGTTGCTAACCGTTCAAAAAGTATTTTTTCTTTTTAATTATTACTTAGCTTACGTATCCACTACAACGACGTACACACACACACACACACACAATATCCTTTGGATGATCCCCATTGAAATTAATTAATTACATTTTTAATGTTTACGACCGTAAACAAGATATTAATGAAAGTTGATGAATAAAACTAGTTTTACGGATTTTTTCGGGTATATTAACTTATTTTATATTACCGAAGTTTCGAGTACTTTACTACTTTAATATACGCGATAAAATGCGTAAAACTAGTTTTATTTAAACGTGTAGTGTTCGTGTAAATATAAAAAATGATTAAGATTGATGAACTTTTTGAGTATAATTTATTGTAAATTTACTATTTTTGTCATAACTATAAAATGTAAGTTTTTTTTTAAAATAGAATATGAGTAACAAACGAGCACACAGTCAATCTGATGATAAGTGATTGCTGTGGCCCATAGACATCTACATTTATCCTCGATTAAGAATCAAAATGCAGATGCGTTGTCACCCCTGAGGACTAAGATGAAATGCCTCATTTCTAGTACCTATAAAGGGTCTCCGGTTCTCTACAGTCACCATACGAAACACAGCAGCATTAAAATAAGCATGTTCAGCGGTAATTGTTTACCACTTTCAATTGTTTTTGTTAATAAGGGTAGTGTAGTATTGGTTAAGATATGATGATGGTTTATGAGAGTATAATAATAGTAGAGTATAGTGAGAGTATAGTCAATGAGAAAATCATCAAACTTTTCCTTCAATTTGTAAAGGCACGATATAATGGTCGAATAATTCTTTACCACGTCAACCAATTTCTTATTGATTTCACGATGTCTGTCCGTCTGTCCGTCTGTCCCACGATTATCTCGAGAACGGTTTTGAATTTTCAAATTCTGTTTTCAGCAATCGATTACTGATCACCCAGGCATCTGAACCTCCTATTTTGAAACTGATTGCTCAACGGCAACCGCTAGAAACCGCTACAAAGCTGATTGCTTCGCCACTTTGCTATGCTGTTAGCTTGCTAGGTTTATTATTTTTAACGTAACGTGAGGGCCCAGATGTGCACATTTTAGATTTTACAAACAGTTTTTTTTAAATTAATATAGGTATATATTATAATATATAAAGCAATAGGCGTAAACAATGTTTTTTATTGCGCATTCATTTTATATTGTCTTTTTATATTGTTATCTTAGTTCTATTTTATATTTGTTGTTTATTGTTTATTGTATTCTTTAAAAACTAATGTATATAGATTATCGATAGTTTATAAAGCAACAGGCGTAGGCACTGCCTCATATTGAGTATTGATTTTTATCAGTGTTGCTAGCCAATGTTGTTATCTTTTAGGCACCTTATCAAACGCCAACTTGACCCATTTAAATCGGCTACAAAGTCTTTAACAAATAGGTTATTTATAACTTTCCATAAGTACACTCGATTAATTAATTGCGCGTATCGATGTCGATACATTTAAACGGATTTATATGACGGAAGATTTACAACCATATATCAACACACTATCAGCAAATTGGTCGGTAATTTTCTGTCTGGGGCGACCTTTGCCTACCGTGCCACTATCTTTTGCAGCATCAATTTGCTTTGTAATTTTTTCCTCATTCATACTTTCGACGTATCAGTACCACCTAAGCATTCCTTTCTCAAAACTGGTCACAGTATCTTGCAAACCACAAATTTATCTTATCACACAATTTCTCACCCTACCATTCACAGTCATCCCTAATATACTTATTAATGAACATATTTTTACAGCATTAACTTTCTCGTGCTTTTTCCGCCACACTCAAATTTCACTACTATACATTAACCGGTTCTGTTCGGATGGCACGCCTGGCGTGCCATCGGCACAGAACCGGTGGCGTGTGACACGCGAGTCGTGTCTTTTTAAAAAAAGCTCAAATTGCTTTTTTGGAAAATTTATCCAGAACAAAATATTCATTATTTTGCAAGTAGTTTATGCCTACAGCTTCGTTTCTGGATATTTTGAAAATTTGAAATTTTTAGGGGTTGATAACCTTTTTTTTAACTTGTACATGGTACTCTTTTTACTTTGTGGGTTTGAAATCATGTTGTGGAAAAATAGACTAATAAGAGACTAATAGATCGCTCACAAACTCAAGTTGTAAATAAATTTCTGGAAAACAAGTCTCCTGTTAAAAAAAAAACAATGCGTTTGTCTTATTGTTTCATTTTGCTTAAAATGGTTGAACTGCCGTCTCATTACTATCATATGGCCGAATAGACCTACGAAGTACCATGTGCTCTTGTGATATGGTATAAGGTTTATTTTTGCTTGAAACAGTTCGAAAGCGTTCATGCATACAAAAAGTTCGCTAATATTATAGTCTTTTGTCAATCCACCGCCGGGGTTTTTTCCTTCTAAAAACACTTGTTTGCTATTCTTACTAATTAGACGTTTTCAGATCGACTTTACTTTTACATTTGTATGACATTAGATAATATTTAACATTTGTAAATATCAATGAATCATAAACCTTATTGACGTGACAACGTCTTATAATTCGATGAAGCTGGCTGCACGCACGAAAAAACGCGTTACCTCGCTCTGAGGCGTTCCATTTAAGGCTTGAAGTGAAAGCGAGAGCGCGAAATGAACGACAAAGAGGCCCAATCGGCCTCCGCGTTCGGCAACGTTCGACATCTGTTTCTCTCCTACTTGAGTGAGTGATGCGTCCGCATGGACAGCTGCTATACAATAATACATTTACATGTTTTCGTCAAGTATGAAGTGCAGTGAAAAGTGAATGTGGTGTCAATTGTTTATAACAACATTTTCTTATGACGTTGTCACGTTCAACTATCGTCAGTAAACCGACTTTACAGACAACCGATGTTTTTTTCCAAATTAAGGCTCTTGATTGTTTGATATTTACAAATATTATTATTAGGTGAAAATTTAATTTAATAAAAACCAAGGTTTTCCAGGGTGATTTAGCTGTACCTACTTATATGTTTTTTTTTTATAAAACAAAAAATAGTACAAAAGGTTTGTAATCTCTGCATAAAAAAGTCACTCTTAATTTCAAAGAAAACACGTAGAAAAACACGTAGTTACCCACTAAAAACAAGTATCCTTCCGTTTGTAACTGATGTTTGATGTCAACTAAACTTAATTAGGTCTAAACAACTGAAAAAGCATAAAAAATAACATTACTTTTACACATGGCTGATGGCACAATAGGCGTGTCATAAAATATTTGTTCGCCGCCACAGCTAAAAGTTGTCGAAAATCTGTGTCGCAACGAATCGGTTAAGGTAGGGACATTATTATATTTGTCACAAATAAAAACTTAATCAGTACGCATTGATCATGAAAATACTGTATTGTTATCGGTTCTTAATACGTCAGCAAAATATCAGATAATTCAGACGTTTGGAAGTGGGTGAAAACTGGTAAAATACCATTACGTTCATACCTACATATTTATTTATACTTATCACTTTACCGTTACTTTTTTGGTTCAGAACAAATAATAAGAGGAACATTCGGGTGGCCTTTTCTCTATACAAAGGATCTCGTCTGTTCTCTTTCTGGTTTATGATCTTATAGCAATGAGTTTTTACAGTAAAATAAATATCAACCTCTTCTATGTCCCTATGTTTTCCTTTTTGATGATACATTATCTTTATTAGCACAAAATGCCCAAATATGCCTATTTAGACCGCTGTCGACAGAGGCCTAGTGTTCAAATTTGATAACTAATATTGAAAAAAGAATAACATATGGACGCAGTGGATATCCTTCTTATTCAGTTTATGAAATATCTTTTAAATTCGTCCAATATTAGTACAGAGCCAAATCTCGAATTATGCCTTTTTACTTACTGTTCAGTCGGATATGCAGTTGTCCTTATCGGACGCCGAGCGCTCGCAGAGCGACAGCGATAGTTTCTTCAAATACCTAATTTTCAAAAGTCTCTCGGCCCGCATTTCCCTATAAGGCCCGCCACATACATACGGAATTATTTTTCGGGATTCTGTTTCGATTTTTCGATTCGGAATGGCGTTTCGATATTCCGATTCGGAATTCCGAACGCAGCAAGTGCAAATTCGAAATTTTGCGGGCAAAACGGGATTACGAACGTGCGTGTCCGACCTGTTCGGAATTCCGAATGTATGTAGTAGAGTCCAAGGGGGAGGCGTTGGCCGTTAGTCTGGACATTGCGAAGGCCTTCGATCGGGTTTGGCACAAAGCGCTTCTTTCGAAGCTCCCTTCCTATGGGCTTCCCGAGAAATTGTGCAATTGGATCACCAGCTTCCTTGCAGATCGGAGCATCAAGGTCGTTGTAGACGGTGCATGTTCTGACTACAAGCCTATTAACGCTGGTGTTCCACAAGGCTGTGTGCTATCACCAACGCTGTTTCTTCTGCATATCAATGATATGTTGCTAACTGGTAACATTCATTGCTATGCGGATGACAGCACTGGTGATGCCCTATACACCGGCCGGGCCAATATTTCTCGGGAAAACGTCGCCGAGTACCGGAACAAACTTGTGTCTGAAGTCGAGTCTTTGCTGGACAAAGTCTCGGATTGGGGGCGACTAAATCTAGTCCAGTTTAATCCTCAGAAGACACAAGTTTGCGCGTTTACCGCTAAAAAGAACCCCTTTGTCGTATCTCCTCAGTTTCAAGGCACTCCCCTTCTTGCCTCAGCCAGTATCGGTATCCTCGGAGTCGACATATCGAGTGACGTGCAGTTTCGTGGTCACTTGGAAGAGAAGGCCAAATTGGCCTCTAAAAAGCTTGGCGTGCTCAGCAGAGCGGGACAGTATTTCATGCCGGCACACCGCCTGCAACTTTACAAGGCGCAGGTTCGGCCTCACATGGAATATTGTTCCCATCTCTGGGCAGGGGCTCCCCAGTGCCAGCTCCTTCCACTTGACCGCATACAGCGCAGAGCGGCTCGAATCGTCGACGACCGAGCCCTTTCCGATCGGCTCGATTCATTGGCACTGCGAAGAGATGTTGCATCTCTTTGCATTTTCTTTCGCATCTACCATGGGGAGTGCTCTGAGGAATTGTTCGGATTAATCCCAGCCGCCAAATTTCATGAACGCACATCGCGGCAGAACTCCCGATACCATCCACACCATCTGGATGATTGGCGGTCCACCACTGTGCGATTTAGAAGATGTTTTCTTCCTCGCACGACTTCCTTGTGGAATCGATTACCATCAGCGATTTTTCCGGACCGATACGACTTAGGGACCTTCAAGAAAAGAGCCTACTCCTTTTTAAAAGGCCGGCAACGCATCTGCAATTCCCCTGGTGTTGCGGTTGTTCATGGGCGGCGGTAGTCACTTACCATCAGGTGAGCCGCATGCTCGTTTGCCCCCTCTCCTATAAAAAAAAAAAAAAAAAAATGTGGCGGGCCTAAGAGTTGGAGTACGTAAAATTAAAAAGTGAAGCATTTTGGTATTCCTTTTCCTGGCTGGAGATGCAGTATTGTTTATAAGATTAATTGATAAATTTTTGATTTATTTTTATAAGACAGTACTACGTAATTAAAATTATATTATGTACGCTCCGAATCGCACTTGTGAACACTGTGGGCTGCTATTGTTTTGTTAATTGGTATTCCTTTTTTGGCTTCACCAATATTCTACTCGCTCAATATAAAATGTTCCTGGAATGTAGAAAACTCTCCTTAAAAATTTCTTTGTTCCATTTTCAGATACTCCTCGGTTGGGTCGGCGATTGGGAATGCGTGAACCCGAGCCTGGTTTACGCGGGATGTATGCTTCTATGCGGCATAGTGACGTTACTAATGCCTCTGTTGAAGACATATTTGGGCCTAGCGGTGGCCTCTGGAGGATTTGGAGCTTTCATAGCCGCTAACTATTCTCTAACTAGTATTATATTAGTGGAACAGATCACGCTGGAGAAGTTTACCAATGCGTATGGATTGTTGTTGCTGATGCAAGGCTTGGCCAATTTAGTAGGACCTCCACTAGCAGGTTAGTGTTTGTCATATTTTACTGTCATAGAATAGAATAGAATAGAAATATTTGTATTTAAACAGTTCTGGAACTGACCAGCAGGAAACCCATCGGAAATTGTTTAAAAGTAACGTTTTATAATTAAGTAAGCTGTACAATTATTTACATATATCAATTCTAAAACAGGAAGTGATCTTATTTTTAGGGGTTATTGTCAGCTATAGCATTCGATGAATGTGGTGGCTCAGGAACGTACTATGTAGTAATCCATGGGCGAGCCATATGTTCAGCTGTAGACTTGTGATGGGCGGCAGTAGTAATAGTGGTATCATGTGTTCATTAATCTGTGGAGTCTCTGTCCAACACATCGGATTAGCACATGTCACATTTGTAGGGCCCTAAGAACAATTATTTAAAAAAAAAGTTATTTATATGAATTAAAAAAATTGTTATAATTAGTCTCATTACTAAATTACGAGATTTAAGATATACGAGAAATAGATTAAGACAATTTACTTCAAATGACGACCGTCCGTCATTATGCTACTTTACTAATAGAACTATGTCGGCTTCTCAATTTTTGATGTAGTACTTGACCGTGTAGGGGCCGCTGTTACAGAATTATTTTAAATTTATTTATTAAATTTTCTTTTTAAAAGATTTCTACCTTAAAATTGCTAATCTATTTGAAAACCTTATTATGATACGAGTATTCACATATTGCATTTGTATCTATTTATTGATTTTAAAATGTTGTTAAAATTATGTTTTTTTGTTTTTCTATTGATATCATTCTGTAACAGCGCTATCTACACGGTTGTACAAGTACGACATCGACCTGTGAAGCCGACGTAGGTTATTCAACGGAGCTGTTATTAATGCCGCATAGGTTCCATACATTAACTGAAAGGGCCTGGTTTTAAGAATTAATAAAAATATTATTGACCTTGGCCTGACCACATGTCTCCACGGAGCAAATACAAAAAGGAGGTGTTGTAATTAGATTTCACTATATAACCATGCGTGACAATTTGCGGGGGGAGGGGGTGTTAAGCTCCGCCCACATAGCTATTTTCCATCTGCCGATAAATAGTAAAACTACTCGCATTGTTCCATATCGATGTTGCAATATAGTTTAGCTACTTGACGACAGATGGCGGACTGTTCACAAAATGATTACAAAAACCATAAAAATAATATTTTGGCGATTAAAAATTCTTTAGGACTGAATGCAAATCAAATTTCAGCGTCTTCGTATGATTATTTTAGTAATACTGAGCTCTACGTACTAAGTTAGTTTTAGATCCCATGACACAAAGTGTCGCCATTTAGTGTCAAATATATTTAATTAGATTTGAAAGGCGACGCAGAGATTTTTATAGAACTATTTCAATAAATTAGATACAAAATTACTTACAAATGAAATGTGATTCTATCCATAGCATCAGAGCGTCTATCTGAGTAGTTTTTACACGATAAAACAACACTTCATCCTTTTCTTCTTAATACTACAGAAATACACCGATTTGCGATTTTCGACACATAAGCGCACAGGACGAACGCTGACAGTATACTAACTAAAGCCATGCCCATTGTGATGACGTCAGGACCTAGTTAGAATCACAGTACACAGTTGCTTAGGCTGTCTCCTCTTTGTATTCGTTCCGTGAGTCTGACGGAGTTGGTCCGGTACAATGTCGGGATATGAAAGATTAATAATATAGTAATTCATAATTTTTTTAAATGAACTTGTTGATAGACAAGACCAATATTTTTGTATATCTTCTGGGTCTTTATTGACTTGACTGGGACAACTGTGGCTTGAGTTATATTTTCTTTTCTGGCTCTCTCTCGTTCAGTGGTTCCTGTTACATACAAACATAACTAATGAATTATTTACTATGTTTCAGGTTGGATCTACGACATAACGGACTCGTACGATTTGTCTTTCTATTTGGCCGGTGTATTCATCGGAGTATCCGGCCTGGTTATGCTCATATTGCCTATATACGGCAGGGCTCGCAAGTATAATGATATGCGCAAGGGCCGAGCCTCAACATCCACCAGCAGCGAGGACCCCAAGATCGGGAACGGAGAGCTCAAGCATAACGGGAAACTGGTCGTCTAGAATTCTAAGCTTGTAACCGAATTGCGAAGTTTTCGGATGGAAACGTTTGCTAGTTAAGACTAACAAGTTCACTGATTAGACTTAGAAGTTCAATAATTAGGACTGAGAAGTTCGATGGATGAAAGAGGTACGACTAAAAAGATAGCTAATCAGAAATAAGAAGTTAGTTGATAAGAACTAAGAAGTTCACTGATTGCGACTAAGAAATTCACTTATTAGGATAAGAAGTTCACAGAACTTAGAAGTTGGTTGAATACCATTGAAACAGTTTGTTAATTAGGATATAAGATCGCCTAGTAGCCTTAAAAAGAATAATGAGATATTCGATTCAATGGACTCATTTTGTTTTTAAATTATCCGGAAATATGATAGATTTGAAAAGTTGGTAAGTTTATTTAGCCGGATGTTTTGGATGTTGTCAAATATTTCTTAGGAAACAAACTAGTTTTTTATAGTATTGTGAGTATCAGACATGGCGCCTGGAGGGAACTAGTTTCACGGTCGTCTCCTTTTTGCTTATTTATTAATATTTCTTATTCTAATACCTTGTCTGAGTATTTTGTGAAGTTAGGGCATCCTTCTCTAACTTTTTTTTATTTGGTGGAAAATGCACAGTTTTGAACCTTGTTAAGGTCACCGCTACTCTTTTATAATTAAAATTTTGTAAAAAATATTGTGACTAAACTCGTGATTGTTGCTTAATTTACGTACAGTGAAGGAACAATAGTGGCGGCGGTCGTCGCGACTAGCATTTCCCACATTTGATTTACTATTGCGTGTAAGAAGCGATGTCTTTCATCTAACATATTACCTATTAGAGTTCTGATGTTTTTATTAGATTTATATTATTTTTGGTAAAAATATACCTCAGTTTTTTTAACTGACAACTGGCTGGTTTGTGTGACTGTGGAAAATATTCCATAACACGTAATAATAATACTACACAGTACTGTCTCATTTACTCTTTCCACCAGTTGTTATTTTTCACTATTTTGTGATATTTTTCTTCTTCAAATCAAGAGATTAAGTAATAATAACTCATACTAATTAAAGGTGATTTTGATCTTGTTTTTAGCGCCTCCAAAAAAGGATGAGTTTATCAATTTGAGTGTATTATTATTTTTTCATAATTTATAACAATATCTCTGAGGTTACTTAAAAGCTTTCTAATTTTTATATGATTACCGATAGAGTATTCTCAGAGAGTTTCTATATAAATTTAAATCAGATCTAAAGATAATTAAAGTTGTTATAGCTTTTATTTTTAAAGGATATAGTGGAATTCTTTGAGATTTTTAAAAAAAAATTGCATTATAAAAAATACTCCACATTGTAATTACAATTGTAAGTCTCTCCAAGTATACATACCAACCAACTATAGTAAAAATAACTGAGGGTTAACGAATTTTACGTAGAACAAATTTTGAAGCGATCAATACCAGGGCCGTGCTGACTCATTATCTTGTATCTTATTGTATATCCATATTTTTGACAAAGGTCATTTTTCACAGTTTTTTAATCATTTACGCGTACGATATAGCTATTTAGACATGTTAAAGACATATACATATGTTATACATTTCTTAGTGCTTTTTGAGAATAAGTAGTTCACTCACATTTATATACATATTGCTTATTTAAGAATTAACTAAAACACCTATTAAGAATAATACAGTATTGTTAAAAGTAATTTATACACAAACTGCGTGATTGTTAGTAAAATTGCATTACATTGGTCTCTTTTTAGAACTTTGTAACAATATTCGTGTAAAATGACGAATTGATAAAATTCAATACCTTGATACTTTGCTACTTTGTTTTGATATTTGCTGCAGTTGGTTCGCGGTTGATAAACAAGGCAGAGTTTTGAGTGTGCTAAATGTTTTAAATTTTAAATTAATTTAAAGCGCATAGATAACGGACAAAGTAGATTGATTCGAAAATGCTGTTTATATAGTTCACGTTGAAGTAAGGCGCGATTAAAAATTTGAAAAAAATTAAAGATTAGAGTATAGAAATTATTTTATTATTATTACAACATCAAAATATTATGATTAAATACTCCGACTTTGACTATTAGATAGGAAGAGAAAAAAAAACATTTGTCATTTACAATATTTGACATTTATTTGGCGGGAAGAAAATAATTTTGAAAAAAAAAATTAAATGTTAAAGATCAATGAATATGTATTTAATTTAAATATTTATTTTTTATTTTGTTAATAAAAAGTCGTCCGTAATGGGTTCACAAGGCATTCCCGCCAAAATAATCTGACAATTATCAAGTAGATTAATGAAAGAATGAAATGCATAACAACAATCACCAAAGACTGCCTCACAATTTTAATCAGTGAAATTTAAGATCTTCCCGTAGTTTTATAACTAGAGATAACGCAAAATCGAAAATTTCTTCGTCCGTGTACGTCTAGCGTATTTTAGTGTTCCGTTTGTGGGGGCGAAGAAAAATTTCGATTGCGTAAATATTTTAAAACGTTTTCGAGTAGAGTATTTAAATTTTAATGATTGATAAAGTGTATATAATCGGAGATTTAGTATTTAAGGATAAATTGTGAAAATTAATCATTTACGTACCAAAATATGATAGCTTTGTTTGGAATTAGTGTTAAGATTTAAGGTTCATTATATAGAAAAAAAAATCTCTCATTTCATACAATCATTAATTATTTCATACTATAGTTGTAAGCCATGCTATATTTTTACTTTTAAGTAGTGAAATGTTTTAACAATACCATTTTAACATTATGCACATTATAACGAAGATTCCGCAACAAAATATAATACGTTCAATAAGAAACTTATAAAGATTGCTTGTGTAGTAATTTAAGGCAGCTCTCTTGCTCCCTCAGTTATTCTCTTCAAATATAAAAAGTAATTATTCGCAATCTTTAACAAAAAAAAAAAAGAAATAAAGATAGAGCGCTGCGTACATTTTGAGTGATGCAAAAACCAAACCAAAACCATGCTCAAGTTATAAGAACACACGCAGACATATTCATTTAAAATCATTTGCAACCAACAACATGGTTTTACGTGCATATGTCTGCGTCCAGCAGTAAACTTAAACGCAAAGAAAGCAAGAAGAAAAAGTCTTTCTCTTTTAGTTTGATCAAAGAAAATGATAACACGCGGATTGAAAGATGCTATTATTTCTATTTCTGTTGTGTTTATGGAAAAAAAATAATGCACATTGTTAAATGAATTGTCGTGCTCCGGATGGTAGAACCGGCACATGACGTCAAAGCAATACGAAATATTTTTCTAACACTATGACCAGACGTAACGTGAAAATAGTTTGTGATAAAAGTAGAAAATAAGTTGGTGTAGAATTTAAGTGAATTTTAGATGCTAAAGTTATTTTCTTGCCAAAAATTTTTGTCTGTCATTTTAAAATCATTACAATCATGTGCACGTTAAAATCATATATTTTGTAGTTATCTTTAAGAAAAAAAGAATGTGGTCATGTTCTGTATTTTTTTTTATTTCATTGCTTAGACGAAGGTGTTGTTCGTCTTGAAGGTGCATTACGTAGCATTTAAATAAGTTTACCAGCTTGTCATTATTTTTTAGTAATTGCTAAATTTATTTGCTCGTATTTTTTTGTGTTTTAGCCAATATACGAAACGGGTATATAAACGTATTATGTATATTATTATGTTGCATGATATATATGTCGTGTATGTCCGTAGTAAAGATATTTTTATATCATTTTTTGTTGTTTTATTTTTTAATAAGAATGTTTGAGTTACTTTTTTACTGTACTTATATTTATCAAACGTAATGTAGGTGCATGTTGTATACAAAATAATTTCAAACATCAAGAGTTATTCAAATTAGACAGTGTAGTTACTTTATAGTGACTTGAGTTTGAATAAGCAGTGCCTAGACATTTTTAGCAAGATAAACCAAAAATATTAAAAAATGTGATATAAAATAAGTACTCCATATTCTAAAAATTCTAAAAAAGTTTGGTATTTCTAATCAGCAATAAATACAATTAATCTATATTATCTTACATCAACGTATTTCCTTATCTTTTCAATTCAGTAATCACTTTTAATAGAAGTATTTCGAAAACGAATTTTTAAAATTAAATTACAAGTACATACTATTGGCAATGAAAAAAAATACAGTGGACCCTCGGTAATCCGACAAACATTTTGCAGGGCAGTCTCGAACTATTGAATTTGTCGGATACCCCCTAAGATACCCTATAGTCCAGAATTTTTTATAAAAGAGTACCTTGTAATCCGACTAATTCCGCATCCAATAATAAGATTCTATATGTTATATATATATATATATATATATATATATATATATACTATGAAATACAAATTACACTTCATTATGTATGTCAAATTTAGTAAATTAAACAACTAAATAGAGAGCTTACATTTTATTATAAAACTAGCTGGCCAGACAGACGTTGTTCAGCCCTTTTCGACGACCCTTTATATAAAAATTTAAATTCGTAATAAAAAAATGTTGAGTGTCACTTATCAGGATAAAAACTATCCTATCTCTCAAGTTGGACCAAACTGCACAGAGTGTGCAAAATTGCATTGAAATCGGTTCAGTAGTTTAGGAGTTCATCACGGACAAACAACGTGACACGTAATTTTTATATATAAAATTAACGTCATTAATGTTATAGAATTAACAAAAAATATGCAATAACATTAGGAAATAATTGTGTACAAATAAATATAAATACTAAAATAATCAGAAATTATGAATCAATCAATTTAAGAAGCAAGGAAATATTCATAAATTTTTTTTTGTTTAACATTGTAGAAACACGAGATTAAAGCTTTGTCCCTCAGTCTTCTCAAAAGTAGAAGTTCGTTGTAGGATGCACGATACTCCAGCCCGTTGCAAACCCATCTCAAAGGCGTTAATTGCATCTTGTGCTGTCACTTGCGAAGATTGTCAAAAAAATATCTAATAATAAATAATAGGCCATGTCGGATTACAGAGGG